TTTTCTTAAGACAAAGCCTAATCCTGAGCACAATGCCCTAAATCTCTTCAATTCTATGTAGACTGAGAAAATTTAGGAAGCTGCAGAAGAAAAGTTGAAGCTGGAGACTGGTTCATGAGGTTTAAGGAAAGAAGCTGTCTCTGTAATATGAAAGTGCAAGGTAAAGCAGCAGGTGCTTATGTAGAAGCTGCTGCAAGTTATGCAAGATCTAGCTAAGATTATGGTGAGGGCAGCCACATTAATCAACTGATTTTCATTGTAGATGAAACAGGCTCTACTGGAAGAAGATGCTATGTAGGAGTTTCATAGGTAGAGAGCAGAAGTAAATGCTTGGCTTCAAAGCTTCAAAGAACAGGCTTACATGTCTTTTTAGCAGCTAATGCTGCTGGTGATTTAAAATTGAAATTATTTCTCATTTACTATTCTGAAAATTCTAGTGCCTTTAAGAATTATGCTAAATCTACTCTGTCTGCTCTGTAAATGGAACAACAATGCTTTGATGACAGCACATCTGTTTATAGCATGGTTTACGGAATATTTTAAGCCCACTGTTGAGACCTACTGCTCATAAAAGGATTCCTCGCAAAATATTACTTACTGCTCATTGACTGTGCACCTGGTAACATGAGAGCTCTGATGGACATGTACAAGGAGATTAATGTTGTTTTCTTCCCTGCTAACACACTATCCATTCTGCAGCCCATGGATCAAGAGTCATTTTGACTTCCAAGTTTTGCTATTTAAGAAATATATTTCATAAACCTATCGCTGCCATAGATAGTGAATCCTCTGATTGAATATGGGCAAAGTAAATTGAAAGCCTTGTGGAAATGATTTGCCATTCTAGATGCCATTATAACATTCATAATTCATGGTAGGAGGTAAAAATATGAACCTCTTAACTTGAAAAAGTTGATTCCAATCCTTATGGATGACCTTGAGGAGTTCAAGACTTCAGTGGGGAAAGGAACTGTAGATGTGGTGAAAATAGCAAGAGAACTAGTATTAGAAGTGGAGGCTGAAGATATGACTGTATTACTGAAATCTCATGATGAAACTTTTAACAGATGAGGATTTGCTTTTTATGGATGAGTAAAGAAAGTGGTTTCTTGAAATAGAATCTACTTTTGGAGAAGATGCTGTGAATTTTTTGAAATGATAGCAAAGGATTTAGGATATTACATCAATTTAGCTGATAAAGCAGCAGCAGGGTTCGAGAAGAATTATTTAAATTTTTGAAAGAAGTTGTGCTGTGGGTAAAATGCCATCAAACAGCATTGCCTGCTATGGATAAATTTTTTATGAAAGGAAGAGTCAATCAATACGGCAAACTTCACTTTTGTCTTGCTTTCAGTAATTGCCACAGCCACCACTCTGATTAGTTAGCAGCCATTAGCATCGAAGCAAGACATTGTACCAGCAAAAAGATTATAACTTGCTAAAGCCTCAGATGAGTGTTAGCATTTTTTTAGCAATAAAGCATTTTTAAATTAAAGCATGTACATATTTTAGACATAATGCTGTTGCACACTTATCAGACTACAGTATAGTGTAAACATAACTTTTAAATGCACCGAGAAACCAAAAAATTTGTGTGACTCACATTATTGCAATATTCACTTTATTGATGTGGACTGGAACCAAACCTGCAATATCTCCCAAGTATGACTGTAATTGTTTCCAGATCCTCTTCTAGTTTGAAAGAACTTGATCTATCAAAGTACCTCTTACAGTAGTGCAGTCTCATTTAGGTTCTTATAAGGATATACACACCAATTCTAGCTTCAGTAAAAGGAAGAAATATTGTCAGAATGCGTCAGACATTTGCTAACAGATGTTACAGTGCTGCCACAGGTTACTAAAGTTAGAATCTGGAAAAGAGTATTTTTTGAGGAAAAGTGAGAGGAGGATAAAGTGAGATGAAGATAAAGATTTGTAAATCTTTATTTACAAGTAGTGTAAATAAAGGTGTTTGTTGTATTATTTATAATAGTGAGAAACTAGAAAAATTATGTTCAACAACATCAAAGCCCCTTTTTAATTTATTAAGTAATAAACCAATGTATAAAGTTAGGTTCAGTGTGGTATTCATTCTATAGAAAAAAGATATATTTATGAAATAAAACCTAGGAATAAATGGATAGTCCAAAATGTTAATAATAATTGTCTCCAGGTGTGGGATTATGGGTGATTTCTTTATGTTTTTATGTATTTAGAATTCTTCTGCAGTTAATATTACTTTTGTAATTAGTAAAAATTAATATGATAGGGCTGGGTGCAGTGTGGTGGCTTACACTATAATCGTAGCACTTTGGGAGGCCAAGGTGGGTGAATTGCTTGAGTCTAGAAGTTCAAGACCAATGTGGACAATGTGATGAAACCCCGTCTCTAAAAAAATATGAAAATTAGCTGGGGTGGTCTGCATCTGTAATCCCAGCTACTTGGAGACTTAGGTAGAAGGATCACTGAGTCTGGGAGGTCAAGGCTGCAGTGAGCCATGATTGTGCCACTGTACTCCAGCCTGGGCAACAGAGTGAGACCCTGTCTAAAAGAAAATTAATATGATAAATATTTCTTGAACCTAAAATGTATTAGGTATGGCTTTCAGAACTGAATAAACAATGTAGGGACACCTGGTTAAACATGATACAATAAGTACATTATCTCTTTAAAAAGAAGGGAGGAATAAACTTAAAACAATTTCAGCCAGTACCAAAGAATTTATTAAAGTAAACATTTTACTTGGTATAGACTGTATGCCAGGAATTCAGTATGACAGGTGCTTGCGATTACAAGTTGGTTACTGAAAGAAAGCAAGCTTGCTGTCATTTCTTCCAGAAAGTTTTGTATGGTCTTCCCTTCTATCATTGAGCTTACCATAACATAACTGAAATTATCAGTTCGTTTGTTTGTTTCCCCAAATGGATTATGAGTTCCTTTAGGATAGGGACTGTGTCTTTTTCATTTGTGTACCTCCAGCACCTAGCAATTTGTTTCATTAGCACTGCTTGGGATGTCATAAGTGGTGATGCTTGAGGTGGATTTTGAAGAAAGAGTGCCTATGATGAGAAGTTAATTTACTTTGAACGAAATTCTTCATTCCTCTATAACACGAGATAGATAAGTTACTGTACTGCAGCAATTGTTAATTTTAATTGAGAATATTTTTGTCTTTTTCAAATGGATTTTGGTTGCCCTAGTTTCAGAATACAGTTTTGAGTTGGTCAGTAAAGTGAATGTAACTTTTCAGTTATATTTTAAACATAAAAATTTGGCCATAAATTGTTTGCATTTTAGGTGAGGGGCAAGGGAGAACTTGAATTCATAGGGATGAGGTTGAGAAATCATAGTGGATGATTTTTTAAAAGTATATTAACAAAATGAATCTGTCATGAAGACTTACTCAAGTTACACTTAAGTATACAAAACAAATAATCAGAATACTGTTGCCTTCATTTCATATGAAGTAGGACAACATGTAGAATATGCAAGCAACATGAAGATCTTTAAAAAGTATAGCAACAAGTAGTTTAAATTTAACATGTACCTTCCATCCCCAATTTACTCACAGATTATATCCCCAAAGTTCAATTATAAGTTGATTCATTCTTTGTTGTCACAGGATAATTTTATAACAACAGTGATAGGGATCTGTGGTTTTCAACCCAGGGGACATTTGGCAATGTCTGGAGACATTTTTGGTCGTAACAACTTGCTGGTGGTAGGGAATGCTACTGGAATCTTGCAGTTGAGGCTAGGGATACTGCTAAACATTCTCCAATCCACAGGACAACTCCCATTACCCCAAAGAAGCATCCATCCCAAATGTCAGTAGTGCTGATGTTGGGAAATCCTGCCTAAACAATGGTCAGGTTCCCAGGGCAGCCTAAAAAACTTTAACCAGTAACAGTACAGTTCTTACAGCCCATAACTGAAATGTAGTGCTAATGGTGCCATTTCCTTTGTCGCTTAAAATTACTTCATCTCCACAGAAAAGTTCTTAAATGTCAACTTGGGATGAATTCCTTACTAGGGCACAAAGGGCAGTTACTCCCATAATGTGGTAGAGACTCTAGATTTCAATGCCTCTGGCTAGTGTTATTTAGATTTTCACATATATCAGTCAATCTTTTAAGACTTTATAAGAATAGTGGCTGGGCTGGGAGCTGGAGCCTATAATCTCAGCACTTTGGGAGGCCAAGGCAGGCGGATCACTTGAGGTCAGGAGTTCAAGACCAGCCTGGCCAACATGGAGAAACCCTGTCTTTACCAAAAATACAAAAATTAGCCAGATGTGGTGGTGGGCGCCTATAATCCCAGCTATTTGGGAGGCTGAGGCAGGAGAGTCGCTTGAACCCAGGAGGCAGAGGTTGCAGTGAGCCAAGATCATACAATTGCACTCCAGCCTGGGCACCAGAGCAAGACTCTATCTCAAAAAAANAAAAAAAAAAAAAAAAAAAAAAAAGAAGAAAAAGAGTTTATAGGGTAGAGATTGCCCATTATTTCAGTACAGTCATCCCTGGGTGTTTGCCGGGGATTTGTTCCAGAACTGTCACAGTTACTAAAATCCATGGATGCTCAAATTCCTTATATAAAATGGTATAGTATTTGCATATAATCTATGCATGTTTTCCTACATACTCTAAATAATTTCTTGATTACTTATAGTGCCTAATAAGTGAAAATGGTATGGAAATATTTGTTAGACTGTATTTTTAAGATTTGTATTTTTGAATTGTTGTGTTGTTAATTTGATTGTTTTTTTCCTCCCAAATATTTTCAATTCATGGTTGGGTGACTCCTGCAGATGCAAAACCTGTGGATACGGAGGTCCAACTGTATAATGTTTAGATGGTGAATACTTATATGTTTTTTAAAACTTGAAAATGTTTAATCAGTTTATTAACGTATTTACCAAATATTCATTTAGAAATAAGAGTAGAATGAATATTTGTATTTTTTAGTATCCTATAACTGATTTACTTTGATTTTATTAACAGGGTCAGGAGACGGTCTGGGGAAAATCATCCAGAGATTTCCACAGAAGGACTGGGATGATACACCTTTTCCACAGGGAATTGAATTGGTAAGTGGTTGTTGTATTATTGCATGTTTATAATGTTATTTTTCTTTTTTGTCACATTGATTTTTACATTTATGTTACATTTGGTATTAAATAATTTGATAATTGTAAGATATTGCAGTACCAGAAATAATCATCTTCCTTCCTAGTCCCCCAAGTACAGTTATCTTTGAATATGTTGATTCTAGAATTTGTATTTTGTTCTTCTTTTTCTCATTTAAACTTCTGATATTAAAGATGAAATTGATGTTTTCCATATATTCAGAAGCAGAAAAATTCCTCTGATTCTTTAGTAAAATTCTTAGCCTAGTAGCTTCAGGGATATACATTATACTTTTTTTTTCCTGAAAATGGCCAGGGTATTGTCTTAGTAAAAACAAACAAAAAAACACAAATAAAAAACCAAATGTTTGTTTAATGGTGACCTGTCATGGTTTGAAGTTGGTCTTAAAAACACAAACTAGATTTTTTTTTTAGCCACACGATCTGAAAGTTATCTTATAATAGTGCAGGTCAACTCCTTTTGTTGTTGTTGTTAGTCATTTTAGAGGAATTTATTGGTTGAACATAATTTATGCTGCCCAAGATATTGTATCTGGTGGTGGATCCATGCTGGTAAAATGAGGGACTAGAAAGGTGATTACTAAAGTACTTTGTAATATGTCTATCAGGTTTGGGTCTTCAAATTTACTTGGGGGTGTGTGTGTTCTTATTTACATTGTGTTTATGGATCCACACACACATACACACATAAAAGCAGTGTTCTTCAAAGGAGTCCTGTTGAGAAGACATTTGATATAATATGATAGTTAAGAGTGCAGGCTCTGTAACAGAGTGCCTAAGTTGAAATCTCAGCTGCATGGTAGGACTTTTGACAAGTCACTCAACTACTTTGAGCAGCAGAATATTTACCTATAAAATGAGGATAATGGTTATATTAAACTCATAGGTTGTTGTAAAGATGAAGTGGAAAAAATACACATAAAATGCTTAGAACAATGTCTCTCATAAATGAGTTGTCTGGTTGTTTAATTAGTATTGTTACTGTTTGTTCAGCATCGCTCAGCACCTCACCCACAGGAACAATTTGTTCATTCTCTTGTTAGCATGGATCAGAAATATCTATTACATATTTTGTATTGAAAATTGTAAATTTTCTCATTCTAGCTAATGACTGTCCAGTTTTGCTTCACTGAAAATTGAAGATACATTGCTAAGTGCTTAGTTTTGATTGTTAAAACTCAGCCATGTAAAGAAAGCTGAGAGTTCTGTAGCCCCACAAAGAGGGTAAATCCTGAATTTTGGCATTAAAAATGGGGAAGGAATGTGAGGATCCAAGGAAAATGGCTTTCTGGAGAAACCTTTGCGTTCCTTTCTCTTTTTCCCTATATGCCTGCAAACACCAGCAATTGGCCTTTCAGTGTGAAGAAATAGGCATTTTTTATAAAAGCTTTTAAACCCTGTTTCAATGTCCCTTTTAGTGTGATTGAGTGTAAATGGTTAGTATTTTAGTGTAAATACAGAAAGGCATTAGCTATAGTTAGTATTTTAGTATGAATGCAGAATCTGAAAACAGAATTCTATGATTTGAAAGAACTAAGGTTGAAAAATGTTAAGAGAAGGTTGAGAAGTGTTATTGAATAGGGACCAACTTTATTTTATCTGAGAACACACATGGGTTCAGAACATAATATTATATTCAAATTATTTTCTATTGCCACTTGTCCTTCCCAGGGAACACATACTTGATGTATTGGAGTTCTAAATGAAAAGTAGACATGTTCAGCCTTACAACTGGTGGAAAAGGATTTTAGTCATTCATTCACTAATTAATTAAATCCCAAATTTAATTTAGAGGATGCTGAATTTATTTTTTCATTTTTACGTAAAGAAATTGCCTTCTTTTTTTTTTCTTTTGAAAAATGGTGAACTTTAATTCAGATGGATTTTAAAAATAAAAATATGAAAGTAAGCTAAACCAAACATAATGACTACTTTTCCAATTCTGGGATATTTTTATCTTTCTCATGTGCTTTTTAGGCATACATGAAAACCACAGACAGTCATATAAATAAAGTTGCAGTTAATTTTGGTGACAGCATTTCAAAGAAAATTAAATTGTTTTTCAGAGGCATTCTATGGTTAACAATCTATTCCTGATTATAGGAACAATATTTTTATTGGCTGTGTCACGGACATCTAAACAGCTTAAAGAATTAAAGCAAAATAGTATTTTTGACCTTAGCTTCTTTGTTTGTTTGTTTGTTTGTTTAGGTTTTTTTTTTTTTTTTCTGAGGCAGAGTTCACTCTTGTTGCCCAGGCTGGAGTGCAGTGGTGGCATCTTGGCTCACTGCAGCCTCAGTCTTCCGGGTTCAAGCAGTTTCTCCTACCTCAGCCTCCAAGTAGCTGGGACTACATGTTCATACCACCACACCTGGCTAGTTTTGTATTTTTAGTAGAGACAGGGTTTCACCATGTTGCCCAGGCTGGTCTCAAACTCCTGACCTCAGGTGATCTGCCTGCCTTGGCCACCCAAAGTGCTGGGATTACGGGTGTGATCCACTGCGCCCGAGCGACCTTAGCTCATTTTTAAGATCCCCTGTCTCAGGAATGAATTTTTTTATATCATGATTCAGAAAATATGCCACAATCTTAGTAGGTCATGGCTTTACTAAGGCTTTTGTTAGAAATACCTCATTTTCTTAGAAGACTAAAGTACTGTGATAAGTAAATTTTGTGGCTTGAAAAAGAGAAGCAAGCATTCAGTTAGAATTTCTAATTTTAATGTTCTTAAGAAATTAGTTCTGTTATTTAAATTATACACTAGCAATTTGACTACCTGCCATATGAATTCAGTCTTCTGTAAATGTAGATTGAGGAAAAGAGAGGAAAAAGAGCTTGTATTCCACATTGTGCAGGTGTAACATGGGAAAAAGTAGCTTTAATATTGGATGTTATTTGAGGGCAGAGTGGTAAGTATAAGTAGAATTCTTTAAGCTGTTTAGAATGCAGTAAACACAATAAATGGCATAGATGTACATACCATCTAACATAGATGTAAATACTATTTGGTTAGGAAACTGAGTGTAGAAAGGATGGAAGAAATTTTTTCTCCTTTTTGTGGAAGAATATGCTTGAAAAGAGAATGAGATGACAGAATCAGTGTTCACAAACATTTTAAAAGGAAGGAGTTACGGGATGTTTAAGAAAACAAAATATGATAAGTAAAAATTTAAGTTCTTTCATGTGATTATATAAAGCTAGATGTATAAGTAATTATTTAGAATAAAGATAGGCAGATACTATCCAGCTAGAGAGGTTTCAGAAGTACAAGAAGACAGCTTTTAAAAAGTTTGTAAAAGCTATGTATGGTAGATACTATAGATAGCATCTAAAGCCTCTGTGCTGAGGTAGGATGCAAGGTAAAATATTCAGTTTTAAAGATGGTCCAGAGCTTGGTATAAAGGGTGTGTGGAAGGACTCTTGATTTAGTATAGAGTTGAAGCTGAAAACTTAAGAATACTGCTATGAAGTATGAAGACATGGCTTTTAAAACGTACTAAGAGCTAAAAAAAGGATTTTAAAAGTTATGTTCACAACAAAGCAAGTGGATATAAATGGGGTTTAAGCTGGAAAATGGTGGTTTGAGCTCATATTTTTGGTACCCACTTCCAGACTGTTTGGAACCACATGGTAGGCAACCTGATGAAGTCTGGAAGGTGCATTTTGAGGTAGTAGGTCCTTTTATCATCTCTGAAGATGAGATTAGTTAATCCTGGTGTTAGGGTTCTAATACACTCCTCCATACTCACTACAATGGTTTGTTTATCCTGTGCTAGAATTCTCATGTCTCTCAATTTTGTTTATTTTTCTAGTGCATTAATACCTTCAGTTATGCTAGAAAATCTTTCCCCTACATTCACTACTTCTCTCAGAACCACCTTAGACAAAGTTTTCTTTTCATGCTGGGGTTCTCCTCTACCTGATGTTGTAAGACCAAAGAGAACTTCCTGAGGAAGATGTAGAACTACGTAGGCCTGACCCACTACATCTTTGTGTTGTTGCAGGCAGCCCGGCCTTCATTCCACGGTACCATACTGCCCCTCATCTCTCATGTGCTTGTCTGTCATATCACCTTATGGCTTATTGTGTACTTCTTAAGTTCCAGTTTCTTTTTGCTACTCTTCTATTTCCATTCATCCATTTCCATTGTATCTATAATTTTAGCAAAAAAAAACTTTCCTTGACTTCATCTTTTAGCTACTATCCTGTTTCTTCTTCATTATAAAATGCTTTTAATGGTTCTTCTTCATTTGCTGTCCCAATTTCTCTAAGAGGCTAATGTGGTTCAGTGGAAAGAATATGGGATCTGAAATTTTAAAGCCTTGAGCAAAGTTAATTTGCTCTCTCTGATAATAATACTTTTCCTACAGGGCTGTTATTAGGTGATCATCTATTAATATTTTAATAATTGTAATGTTATAATTTCTTATTATTTTCTCTCATTTTATGCATCTGTCTCACTTACATTTTGGGGATTTATTCTAAAGTATAGTTTATGTCCTTTCTGTCCTGAAATCACAAAGTTGAAGTTAACTTTTTCTGAATTGGTTAAGGTAATGCTAGCTTTTATAATAGATAAACATGGAAATCTTGGTGGCTTAACTTAATAGAAGTTTTTGTTTTTTTCCCCCTACTTACATAAAGGCTCATTAGTGGCAGTAGGGTAGATGGGAGTGCGGTTTGCCATTTTCAAAATGTGGTCCTGTAACCAAAAAGCAAGTTAGATGCTCACTGCATGTAGAGTTCAATTAACAAGAGTGATGTCTGATACAAAAAAGGTGAATTTATTTCAAAGCTAGCTTGGGGGAAGAGGCACAAAGTGTTCTTCCTTTAAATGTGCCACTCCACCTTTGGAGCAGAAAGCAGGCATTTTTATAAGGCAGGGGAGGAGATGAGCAAAGGCAGGGGTCCCCCTGCTACCAGGCAGTTACCTGCTAGGC